TTCAGTGACCAAGAGCATCGGCTCCTCCCCGAGGCCTCCGTGTGCCCATCACAGGGACGAAGGAAACAGAACAGTGTGGTGAGACAGTGCAGGGGTCCTCATTTCTCCAGACACGTGTCTTCAGCAGATGTGAGTGGGGGTAAAAGCAGAGGTCCAGGCTGGCATTGTCAGAGGTGTAAGAGGCTTAACAGTAATGTGTTTTCCTCTCCCATCTGTTAAAAAACCACGAGTTCTCAGCATTACCTCCAATTCCAGCTTCTGCCTTTCCATATTTGTCTCTCCCATCTCTGACAGAGAGAAACTTATCTCCCATTTTTCCAGTCCCTTTGTTTGACACCTGTCTCCTGACCTGCGGACTGCCATTCACCTGTGGGCTGACCTCCCAACCCCCCAACGCAGTTAGGGTCTGCCTGGTCCCGACAACCCACCTTGTTCACATCTAGTGTCTAGTGTCCTTTTGACGAATAGAGGAAGGAAAAAGCCAATAAGTATTTTACAAATTAGTAAGGGAAGAGGAAGAGTTTCAATAGTCTGAGAGCTTTCTCGCTTTCTAGTACCAGACATTCCAAGCTCATCTTGTCCTTTCTTTTGCCCAGACTTGGAATCAACCAAGGGGCCCTAACTCCTTTGAGTGGGACATGGTGTTTAGAGACCACAGTCTGGGAGCCGAGTGCTTTGTTACTGGCTGGTTATTAGTTTCTAGGCCTCTTTTGAGTAGAAAGAACTGGAAAAACTTTTTATTTTAAAGAGAGGATGTGTAATGAGTTCATGCTTAGATTTCTAGCTTAAATTTAGGATGATAGAGTTTTTATTTATTGTCTTTGGTTTTATATTTGTTTCTTTTTCCTCTCATGCTGAAAATCTCGGTTCCTGGAACCATTAACGTCATTACTTATTTGTTTTATCCATATATAATTTACATGTAATACATATTATATAACATATAATATAGTACATTTAATTTATGCGATATATTTCAGGAAAAGACCAATATTATTGCTAACCATATGATTACTGAAAACAATTTAAGATTTATATGCCTTTTTTTTTTATAAAATCTTTGAACGATCTCATCGGGGATGGGCGGTAAAATGACTTACTTTTGAAATAGTTCCTGAGTGGTCGAGCCATCAACTTTACACAGTTACATCTATTTGTTTCGCTTTGCTTGTGTTTGTAGGGAATTTTTTCATTTCATTTTAGTTTTGGTTTATAATTAAATAGAGCATTGACATGCTTCCGAAGTCAAAATTGAAAGACGAGGTATAGTTAGTCTAGTTCCATCCTTGTCTTCTCTACACCTTTCCCTCTTTCCCCGTTTCTGTGATCTTAGTTTTTAGGTTTTCCTTTTTTGTTTAATATAAATAAATACCTTCATGTACTTGGACCCCCCTCCCCGCCTCGCCCCATCCGGTGGCAGCGCACAGTACACGTTTTTCTCCTCTGGACTCTTAATGTCAACGCACTTGTTTTGTGGCTTTACAAAGTGGCAAAGGACCCAGGTTCATGGTCAAGGGGCCATGTCAAGAGCCTGGGGAACAGGTTTATATTCTTCAACTTTCTAAGTATTTTGAACTCCTCTTGTGTATCCAGAATGGGTATCATTGGTCATTTACTGAGTGCACGCCACGAGCCAGGCATTTTATATGCTGTATTAGTTATTTATTGCCGCGGAACATATAAAAATCAACATCTTAGCTTAAAGCAACAGACAGGTATGATCTCACAGTTTCTGTGGGTCAGAAGTCTGGGTGCAGCTGAGCTGAGTCTTCTGGCGATGGGTGTCCCCAGGGCTGAGGTCAAGGTGTCCCCAGGGCTGCAGCCACCTCAAGGCTCGGCTGGGCGAGGACCCACGTCCAAGCTCGCTCGCGTGGTTGTTGGCAGGGTTCAGTTCCTGGCAGCCTGTTGGCTGGAGGCTGCCCTCAGGTCCTTGCCATGCGGACCTCTCTATAAAGCTGCTCACAATGGAGTAGCGGAGGAGGCAAGTGAGAGAGGGAGAGAGAGGGAGAGGGAGCGAGGAGAGGAGGAAGGTCAGCAAGTCATCATCTTTTATGGCCTCATTTCTGAAGCGGCGTCCCATCAGTCCCGCCATGTTATTTCATGTCTGTGACGCTCCGGAAAGGGCAAAAGGAGAACAGACCAGCGGCACTGGGGGAGGGGCTGGCCACAGTGGGGCAGAGGAGGGAATTTGGGGGGCAGAGGAGGGAATTTGGGGGGCAGTGCAATGTTCTTTATATTGACTGTGGCAGTGGTTATACAACTCTTTGCATTTCTCAAACCCCAGAGCACTGTTGACCAAAGAGTGAATTTTACTGTATGGAAGTTTTTAAATAAAAATTTTAAAGTTAAAAAAGGAAAACCCTCATTGTTTTCAAAGAAAGGAAGAAGAAAGTTGTGATACATCCAAATTTAGGGATTTTGAAATGCATTTAATTTCATTTTGGAGTGTTTTTTATTTATTTATTTTTTAATCAGAGGCGGGGAACTGGTAATCGATGAACTCCTTACTCAGACGTGGTGAGTAGCCAGGCACATTCTGGGACCTCATGCGTGTCTTGTTGTTTAATCCTAACACATTCGGAAGGACAGGATTATCAGCCCCACTCCACAGGGGATCAACCGAGGCTCAGAGAAGTGAATTACGGCCAAGTCAAAAGGAAGGTGATGGAGCAGGGATCGGAACCCGGGTCTGCAGAGTCCAAAAGGTGTCATGCTCTTCCCTATTGCCCAGACTTTTCTCAAGGTCATGCAGCTTTACAGTAAAAGGCTGCTTTGTTTCCCTCCTGCAGCCCTTCATTGTGAAGGGGTCGCTCCCGGCATGGTCTCGGAGGTGCTGAGATCGCTTGCCTGCCTCCTCTTAAGGGGAGTCCCCATTCTCTCAGTCGATCCTTACTTTCTTTTCATTTTATTTTCTTCCTGTTGCTCGCTTTCTTTATCCAGCGTATTGGTGTCCCAAGGCCACCATAACAAAGTACCACAAACCGAGTGGCTTCAAACCACAGACATTTATTCTCTCGCAGTTCTAGAGGTTAGCAGCCCCAAATCAAGGTGTCAGCTCCCACTGGCAGCTCTGAGGAAGGATCCCTCCCGCCTCTTCCAGCTTCTGGTGGCCCCAGCCTCGGCTTGGAACCACATCACTCGTCTCTGCCTCTGTCTTCACGTGGCCTTCCTTCCTGTGTCTCTGCGTCTCTGTGTGTCCCCGCCTCTTCGTGTAAGGACACCAGACAGTGGATTTAGGGCCCACCTTCACTCCATGATGATTTCATCTCGAGATGAAAGGAACTAATTGTCTGTAAAGACCCCCTTTTCATATAAAGTCACATTCACAGGAACAGGGGGTCAGTCCTCGAACATGTCCTTTTGGGAACACGGTTCAACCCACTACGTTCGGTAGGACTTGCTTTGAGGGGGCAGAGGCAAGCCGGAGCCTTGGTCCTCACTGCTGGTCCCGCAGCCTTCACTGTCCTCTGCCTCATCTCCAGACCTGGGCCGGGGGGGTCTCCCCTATCTCCTCTGTCCCGCCTGGGGGAGGGGGCTGCGGAGGTGAGCTGGAGTTGCCACTTAGCAGAGAATCGCAAACAGCCTTCCCAGTGAACCCGGTTGCTTCTCCCTCCCCACTTTCCCCAGCACTTTTCCCTGCGGTGTCCCTGGCGAAACAAGCTGACGGGTGACAGGAAGGGGATTATGGATTAGAAAAGCACCTGCTAACGTAGCCTTTTATGATGGGGTGCTTTTCTGAATCGAGCTTCCCAAGCCAGTCGACGTGCCTAGCATCCTCCCCGACCTCCCGTACTGCCAGGAACACCTTGATCTTCCTGTGGGGATCCCCGTCTTTCCTGAAGCCATGTAGTTGGGCAGGGCCAACCCCACCCCAGCTCCTCCCTCTAGCTTCTTTCAGCTCCCTGCCCTCTGCCTCTTTCCCCCGCAGCCTCCTCTCCTCCCCCAGATCTTTGCTCTTCCGCAGCCTTGCCTCGTCCCCTGCTGCCCCCCACTCAGCCGACCGGCCAGGGGCAGGCTGTGCTGCCCCACGCAGGCCTGCCCACCAGCCCCAAGCAAGATGCATTTAAGTAAAAACCTGATTGCGCACACAAAAACACAAGCCCGGGCTCCACGCTTTATATGTTCGCAGAGTCAGAAGAGAGAGGAAGGTTGTAGGTGAGCTCGAGGGTGTAGATTCATTTGGGGTGGGGGGATGCGGGCGATTAGCTCCTTCGCTGAGGTCTTTGATTATTGCGGTCGCTGAGCTCTGATTTCACCCTGCCCCCCCGCACCCCTCGCCGGGTCTTGGTTTCTGCCCGGCTGTGTGCTGCCTCCTTCCTCACCCTTGGAGTTTCAGGGCTTCCATCCTGAGCCCTGGGCCAGGGTCCACTCCTGCCACCTGCAGCTCTCTGGCCCTGATGCCCACAGGCTCCCCGCCCTGGTGCCCCTGGCCTTTGCCATCACTTAACCAACCTGTGGCCCTCTTTGCCAGGAACTTGTGAACTTGGCAGTTTCTCAGATCCCTGGGAAACATGGGAGCTGCCAGCCCTACAGGGTTTTGTGCTCAAGGGAGAAAATGGTTGGAAAAAAAAATTCCGTGTACAACTGGGATTTGCTGCCAAATGAGAAAGCTCATTTATTACCAAAGACGTGGGGTGCAGAACACTTGACCAGCATTCGATCAATCTCCTTTGCTGTCAGGAAGGCTGAGCAGAAGAGCTGTGGAATCCAGGATTCAGGACAGAGATGCCACCTTATTCCCTGCCACTCCAATCCCCTCCCCTCCTACCCCTGCTCTACCTATCTGACCTCCAGGGGGCACCAGATCTCCACCCAATGTGGCAAAGGGGGCGAGCCAGGGAGCCTGGGGGCTGGGGTGGAGGGTGAGGGGATAAAGGGGTGGGAAGAAAGCAGGGCATCCCCCTAAAGTCACATTCGGGGCACACTGATCTATTGCCAGGGTGCAACGCATAGAGTCCTGCAAGATTCAGAACATCCCTAAATCGCCACATTTGAGGAAAATGGATGAAAAGCTGATCAAACAGACGTTTGATGCCGGGATGAAAAGGAAACGGGTCCAGTACGTTGGAGCGGGAGGCAAAGTGTGGGCTGGAGCGCTGACAGCTGGAGGTGGAGTCTTCCATCACCCATCATGCCTGAAGGAGAAAATGAAACGAGGCCTCCCCGGCTCTCCTTCTCCAGCCTGGCTGCTGCTGTGGCACAGCTGGCGGGCAGAGCGCCCAGGGTGGGCAGGGGCAGGCGCGGGCCAGGGCGGCGGGGATTCTGGGGCCCAGCTTGCTGGTAAACCACAGCCCAGTTTGGAGTTTGGCTCGGAAAGCTCGATTCAGAAATAGCACCCCTTCTCCATGCCTGGGGAGATAGATGAGCTCCCCAAACCAGGCTCCTGGGGTCACCCCAGCAGAACTCTAGATGGTGATATTCCCCAGACAGGAGCTGGCTGCCTTACTAGGGAGGATAGCCCCACACCCAGCCAGCGGCTCTCACAGGTCGCGGGCAGTCTCCCGCTTTTTATGACCTCTCTTCGCCCCATCTGTTTTTCCAGGTGGGGCAATATGAACTGCTGTCACCTCCCTGAGGAGGAAGGTGAGACTCAGAGAGCCCTGGACTTGCCCAAGGCCCCAAGGGTAGGAGTAGCAACTGGGCCTTGAACACAGGTCTCCTGCCTTCAAGTCCAGATTCAAGTGCCTCTAAGGCAGAGGCCACACCTACCGGGAAGGTTGTTTCTGGAAGCCTTGGCCTTCTGAGCGAGATGGAAAACTAGCAGGAGTTTAGGCGCTGCCAGCTCTTTGGAGCACTCTCTCTGGAAGGGCCAAAGAGTGGCCCGGCTCCGTCTGCCTGGATGTGCCCGCTGGGTCGGTGCCGTTCAGTCAAAACCGATTCGGCGTTTGCCGCCGAATTGCAATATGTAATTGCAGTGTGTTCCCATGGCCATACGTTTCTGGAACGTTGACAAATGTGAGACATTTTAACCTCCGTGAAGTCTCTTTCCGCTCCTTTTTTTCCCCTTCGTTCATCAGTGGGAGCATCCCCAGGAGCCGTGAATGAAGAAAAGCGAATCAGTGAACATGATGGAAAAAAGATTTAAATGTCTTGCTGATACGACGAGAAATAGCAACATCACCAAAGATAACACAGAACTCCTAATAAGCACCTGCCGTGGGGGCAGCGAAGCCACACTGGGTAATGAGTGTCGTCCATCCAGGTTGCATTTAAGGTTGGTCTCTGCGTGAGAAAACTCGACACGCTCTACATTCTTACTGCTCATCCATGAAGAAAAGTTGGTCCACGTTCGTATTCTCTCTATAGAACTCCCCAGCATCCTTGTCGGACAGAGGCGACGTATGACCTCACGGGGAATGTGTCACAGAGGCGGTCGGGTGGTTAATACAAAATATCCTGTTCCTTTCCTGAATTGCGTGATGTTTATGGTATTTGTCAGCTTCTTAGAATTTGTAACTTGAGGACGTCTATTCTCCTTAGCAGGGGACGTTAACGTTCACCGTCACACCTAAGTTTGGCTTTGTGATTGCTGGTTAGTTTTTTCGATGAGAGGCCCCACAAAATTGTGTAAGCCTCAGACCCCAACTTCCTCTGTGCTGTGAACGGGCGTTTGATAGAGAAGAGAGGGGCTCGGTGGCCGACTTGCTTCTCTCAGCCCGGGTTCAAAGGGGAACCGTGTCCCTCACGGGGGGCCGTGAGGTCATGTGTGTAAACGGCCTGCAGGCCCCCCGGGCCCTCATCAGGTCCAGTCCCTTGCCCCTCCCCTAGGTCTTTCTCTGAGGCATATGCCACGAAGATGGTTTCAGTTCCTCCCCGGGCCGTGCTTCGTGCCTGAGTGTCATCCTCGCCTACACTTCGAGCTTCCTCACCCAGAGCCTGAGGAAGCCTTTTCCTAAATCAAAATGGCCCGTGGACGATCTCAGCCAACGAGGCAAGGGGTTGGTATAAGAGTGGGATGCAGGGGACAGGGAGGGGTCTTGTAAAGCAGTCTGAGTCCCTACAGGTCACCTGATGGGTCTCTCCAGGGAAGGGAGGGGCTCAGGCTTAGCCATGTGGGAAGTACACATTAGTCAGCATCATGGATAACCAAGAAAAAGGACCCATGTAGCAAGTGGCTCCCACACCCCCAGGGGAAGGAAGGGCTTCCCGGGGCATAGCGGGGTATAGCAGACGGCCAACCAGCAGCTGGTCGGCCCCACCCCCAACTTGGAGGAAATGGGGGACCCAAAAAGAGGCGTCTGTCCAGAATGACGGAGGGGGCCATGTCACACTGGGCACCAGGGAGCTACAGCAGGAGGAGCCCTCCATGGGGAAGGGTCTGGAAGCCACTTGGGGGAATGGACAGGACTAGGGAGAAAGGAAGCCTGTGGCCACAAACTCCTGTCCCCACCTGTGGGAAGGACAGAGACCTGCTTGGGAACCCGGAGAAGGGCCTGGGGTGCAAACTCCGAGGAAGTCTGTACGTCCAGGGCCCAGGGCTGGGGCTGCTCCCTGAGCTTGAGAGAACCGCCCCCCCTTCACTGGCAGAACAAGACCGGAAAGGGAGGGAGGGGAAGGGGGGAAAGAGGGAAAGTGGAGGAGGAGACCCCTGTGGAGAGGGGCAGCGACCCAGACAGCCCACTGAGCCTGTCCCCCACCCTCCCTCACCTCCGGGTACCCCCTCGCTCCTCCCCACGTTCCCCAAGCAGCCAAGGCTTCCTGCTCCCACCCTCCTCACCTGGCCCAGAGGCACAGCTGTGGCCTCGGCCGCTCACCCCTGGCCCCCAGGGCTGTTCAATAGTCCCCTCCCCTCCCCCTCAGCTGTCACACCTGTGTCCCTGGGAAGATGTCTGTGACATAGGGATCTCAGATCCTGCCCGCTGCCCGCCCAGAGGAAAGAAAGGGAAAGGGCGAGGCGGAGTCTTGTTTCTTCCGTGTCCTCGGCACTTTGCACAGAACCCTGACCCCGGGCCCCCTTTGAATTGAAGGGCGAACTCCATTGTGAGGCCAACTTCCCTGTTGCTTTACAGTTCTGCATGCCAGCCGGTTCTTTCCTAAGGTGGGCCAGATTCTGGTTTCCAGATTCTGACATCTACTTCCTACAAGTCTGTAAGCAGAGCCCTATCTACCTCTTATTAATTTGATTGGAAGTGGCCATGGGGCCCTTTATGCCTGGGTGTTAAGGGACTCTTCTCCCAGTTTCCTGCTTGTCTGTTCGTTCGTTCAGGAGATCCCTGTGTTTGGCTAGAGCACCTGCAAAGATGCAGGTGTCACCACCTGGGAAGTAGGGGCTGCCGTAGGTAGAGCAGGTGAGGGGCTGGGGGGGAGACACGGCTGCAGAGAGCTCTCAGTCTAGCCCAGGAGCGCAGATCCCCCCAAAGACTGTCAGAAGGCGGTGCTCATGCGCAGGCAGAATGGGATTCAAACCCCAGGTCTGCCCTCGATGGCTGTGTGGCCTTAGAAAAGTGACTTCTCTTCTCTGAACCTGTTTCCTCATCTCTGATAGAACCTGCCTGGCAGGGTGGCTGAGAGGATAGATGGGGCCCAACATCTGGCGGAGATGAGTTTCCATTGCTCCTTGGGCCCTCACCTCCCCACAACCCCAGACCACCCAGGCCCAGCAGTGGTCGGTTCCCCACGGTGGGGGAGGGGCGTCAGAGGAGGCAGAAAGGCTGTGAGTGAGGAGCGAGGTCCAGGCCCTGGGCCAGGGACCAAGGGCCTCCTGCCCACTCTGAGGTCGGCTGCATCCCGCAAGGAGCCCGGCCTGGGTCCCACGGGCAGTTCCGGGATGGCCATGGCCTGGATGCGTCTCATCTTCCAGAAGGTGCTGACACAGGACAAGCGGATAGTCTTGGGAAGAGAAGAAAGGAAAAGTCATGGCCGGCAGGGCACAGGGAAGCCGTGACTCAGACACCGGCTCCCAGCCAGGAAGGCGGCTGCTGCTTGCGGGTCCTTTGGCCCAAGTCAGATGAAAAATGCCTGAAAACACTTTCCTTTGGTCCTCAGCAGAGGTGGGGAGTTTCCAGGGGCGGAGGCTGCTGAGTGAAGCCCTAAGGCCTCTGGCTGCTGCTCCTCTGCTGTGACCCAGTGGAAGTATCGGAAGATGCGAAGGGCGAGACTCAGCTGATTTTCAACCTTTTTCTATCCGGACAAAGAACGGACTGTGGTTCTTGCCAATCTCTTGAAGGTTCCTGGTCCTATAAAGGTGGTGGTGTCTCTCCAGTGTCGAGGGAAGTTTGTGGAGAGTGAGGTTTCACTCCGGTGAATGCGGAAGTCGCTTAACTTCCAAACGGGGTGCCTTCCGGGGGAAAGACTTTCCACTCAGAAACCGCGTGTACCGTCAGTGAGGCCAGGCTCCCAGGGCGGCCAGGAAGCTGCTGAAGCCACTGTGCCCCGAACAGCTGCGCACATGAGGGGAAAACAGTAGAAATGGATACTAGTTGCAATACCAGTAATTTTTTTTAATCAGAAAAATAAATGGGTTTAATTATCTGACTGTTGACACTGGAGGCAGAAGGTGGTTTTGCGAGAGGGTGGGAGGAGGGAGGCCTTCCCAGCCCGGTTCCCCGGGGGCCCCTCTCCTGCCCCAGCCGCCTGCCCTGTCTCTTCCAGTCCTGGGAGCTTCTCACCAAGCCTTCGTGAGTGCTGTGGCCTCGGCTTCCACGGCAGGCTCAGCCTGCTCTGGGCTCGTGTCCCCATCACGCTGGGTTCCCGCCAAACTGTGGCTTAGACGTGCAGGTGTCACGCTCTGCCCTAGATGGACAGTGTGTAGGGACAGGGCCTGGCCCTGAGCAATGCCCTGGAGAGGTTTGTTGAATGAAGGAACAGGTGACTCAAAGTTCCTCGTGAGTCACCGGAGGGGCTTCTGGACCCCTACGGGGATTGGAGGCACTGGCCTGGGTTCTTTGCCGTCTACGAACCTAAGGCCTCCAGACTGAGACCCAGGTTTCTCATGGGGGTTTGAGGGAGCCGGCCCAGCCCCAGGGCAGTGGGAAGGAACCTGCTGGGCAGAGAGGAGAGAGGGGAGCAGGAGATACGCGGAGCTGGTGGCAGTGTGAGGGGCTTCTGGACCCCTACGGGAATTGGAGGCACTGGCCTGGGTTCTTTGCCGTCTACGAACCTAAGGCCTCCAGACTGAGACCCAGGTTTCTCATGGGGGTTTGAGGGAGCCGGCCCAGCCCCAGGGCAGTGGGAAGGAACCTGCTGGGCAGAGAGGAGAGAGGGGAGCAGGAGATACGCGGAGCTGGTGGCAGTCCCTGGGAGAGTCCCCTGCCACCACCAGCCCCTGCACCTGCCTCTGGAGCCTTAATGGGGCCAGATCCCAGACCATACTCCACTCTGCCTGGAGGTCCTCCCTCTCCTGCCCCTCCTCGCGGTCCCACTCCCCACCCTTCCTCAGGGTCCCCCTGCTGGCTCATCCCAGAACTGTCATCCTCCACAGACCTTCATTCATAACGACACGCCATCGGGAGCTGTACCTGCCCCATCTCCCCTTGCCAGACCCTTGTCCTTCTTTGTGAATCCCCCAAGCCCCTCAGAAAGAAACCTACAAGGAGAGGCGCTCAGTGAAGGTTTATGGCAGGGCAGCTGCTTCCAGCCACCACCTTATTCTTCGCAATGGGCCTTCACCTCTGTCGCTCCAACGGCTCATCCAATCCGTACGCGGCACGAGGTGGATACTCACCGCCTTCCATACTATAGATGAGGAAAGTGCCCCCACTGGCTTAGGAGGTAAGGCAAGCGGAGGGGACTTGCTCGAGAGTCCCAGGACACTATGCTGGCTTTTCGAGTGGGGAGAGAGGAAGGAGCAAATCTCTTTGAAGGGCTCTCCCTGGCCGGTGGCCAGGCTGCCCATCACCAGGCCCACAGCCTCTAGGGATTCTGCCTCCGAAAGTGCTTTGGGCGGTTTCTCAAGTGTGAGAACCAGGGTCTGTTAAAATCCAGATCCCCTGGCCTCCCAAAGCCTCCTGGAGCTAAATCTCTGGGGTGAGGCCAGGAATCTGAATAATTAGCAGCTGCCACACGCACCCCTCTGCCCCATAGAACCGTAGAACTGTGCGGGGCGACAATGCATGAACTAGCCTCACAGGAGGCTAATCGTCTCCTTAACTGGCTGAACTCACTATGGGGAGCCCTGCCCGAAAAGGTTGTCACTGCAAGGCAAGGGGACCGGTTTGCCTGGTAGCCCATCCCTGGCTCCAACGATGGTTCCCCAGGAGGGGTTTGGGAAGTGTTCCCAGCCACAACGGCTTGTTAGAACAGAGAGGAGCTGTGTTCCCTCAGCACGTTCCTGGGCCGGCTTGCCCTTGACCCCACCCCCACCCCTACCACTTTCTCATGTGGCCTCATGAGCCCCTGGCCTGGCCTTGCTGGGCAGCCAGAGATACCTGGTGGGGAAAGAAGCAATCCGAGGAGGAAGACGTTGCAGGCAAGGGTATTCCTGCAGGCCACCAGGTGGCGCCATTGACACAGGACAGTCGGGGGTGGGGGAGGTGGGGGAGGTGGAGGGTAGGGGCTATTCATTGTGGCAGGGAGGGGAAGGAGGTGGCACCATTAGTGCAAAAACTTTGAGGCTCTGGTGCCTGCTACAGAGGACCTCCAGTAATGGCCTCCTGCTTGTCAATCAGAGACGCATTCGTGCCAAGGGCCCAAGCCTAACAAGGCCTTGGCACGTGGCAAGCACGGAATAAATGCTGAGGATGACTCCGCGTTTGCTGCTTCAGGTCTTCGGGACTATTTCCAGCGTAGCAGGGGCTGGGAGGGGGCGCTAGCGCCACGGAAGCGAGGAGAGTCGTCTCTAACTCTGGGTATGTGGTCAACAGGAAAACCCTGGACCCTGGTCCCCAGTACGCCTCTGGTCCCCTCCGTGACCCCGGGCCAGGTCAGCTTTCCAGCCTGGGCAGGAAGCTCGCAGCCGCGTGTAGGGTGCGTAGATTCCGGGGTACGCCTCTGGTCCCCTCCGTGACCCCGAGCAGGCCACGTACTCTGTTTTTCTCCATCACTAAGTCTGTAGGATAAGGACTGTAACACCAGCCCTCCCGGGGGGACCGGGCGAACGGCTCGTGCTGGTGCTTACTTGCTGTGTGGCCCTGGGCAGATGGCTCACACTCTCTGGACTTTAGGTTCCTCGTCTGTAAAATAGGAGCAGTAACAGCCACCACCACCCCCAGATTTCTGAGGACTGAAGTAGGCAATGCCTGAAACAAATAATGAACAGGAAGAAATACGGGGCGGCCGGGGCTGAGAAAGGACTTTGGAGATGGGCCAGCTCAGCTTTCCAGCCTGGGCAGAAAGCTCGCAGCCGCGTGTAGGGTGCGTAGATTCCGGGTGGGTTTGCACACCTCCGGTAACAGAGAGCTCACTCCCTCCCGAGAGAAGCTGGTACACCGCGGGCCAGCCCACAGCTGGATGGTCTCCCTCAACTGGGTCGTGGCTGGTTCTCAGGGCTGAACCATGGCCCGGGCCTAGTGGTCAGTTCCCTTCCCAGAGCGAGTGGGGTCAGTGCCACCCAGCTGCCCACTGCTGCGTGGTACAGAAAGGGGACCGCGAAGGCAAACCTGGGTGTTGCTGGGAGGGGCGGGGTTTTGCCCTCCAACGCAGTGGTCCTTGAGGGAGGGCATGGAAGGAGCCGGTCAATCCGCCCCTGGAGCCTCGGGCAGTGGGCACCCGAGGACAGGGTGGAGAGCGGACGGGGGGTGCTCTGGATCTCAGGCACTGGCCAGTGCAGAGGGCATTATGAAGGGGCCCCTCCACCTGGTGGGCTCCTCGTGGTGCTGGAGCCTGTGGGGAGGAAGGAGGTGACTTCCCACAGTGGGCGGGGGGAGGAGAACAGGCCCCTTCCCAGGGCACTTCTGCTTCCTGTGCATCTGCTTGCATCCCGGGCGGGGGTGGGGGGCAGGGGGACGTGGAGAACGGAGCATCAGAAGCGGACGCGGCCAGGCCCGGGCCTCACACTCACTGGCTCACGCACCTTCGCTCGCTCCCTCACCCCCGGCAGGTGCGGGCCTGTGTGGGGTTCCGGTTTCCTCCCTACACAGGGAGAGCCATGAGGGCAAAATCGTGTCTCATGTTTTGTGCTTCCATTGCCTGGCACACAGTAGGTGCTTAATAAGTATAGGTGGGAACTAATCTGCAAACGGGCCAGCAATTGGGGTCCGGTTTGGACGGCTTTAGTCGTCATGTGGACAAGGCGCCTCAGGACTGCAGGGGACATCGGTCCTCCCCCACTTCCTCCTCCGTCAGGGCTGCCACCTCCTCCCTGGAGTCCTCCTCTTTGCTGTGTACACACTCCTACCTTTGAGGTAGGCGGGAGCAGAGATTAGGAGCACGGAGGCTGGGGCTGTCCCCAGAGTCGCTTCCCCTGGACACACTTCTTAGCTGTGTGGCTCTGGGCAAATTTTATTTTAACCTCCCTGTGCCTCAGTGTCCTCGTCTGTAAGATGGAGGTGTCATAGTACACACCTCGCGGGATTACGGGGAGGATTAGATCGATCTGTCGATTAAAAGCGTCTGAACAGTGTCGTGCCGGTAACGGCTCTGAACTGCTGTTCTTGCTAGGCTGTGCCCAGTCACTGCTCTCCTGTCCTGGACGGGGGCTCCTCGAGGCTGGGGTCTGTCACTTCCACATCCTTCTGCTGAGGCCAGTGCCTGGTGCACACAGGCACTCAGCAAAATGGGAAGGGATGGCCGGATGGATGGATGGACGGGCGGGGCAGACGACTGGACGAGAGCAAGTGCCGAAACGCGCTGTCCCCCAGGGACTCGCCTGCGGTCTCTGCTGTGGGCCGAAAGGCTGCCCCCTGGGGAGGCCAACGGGGCCAGTACCCTCCACTCCTTGTTTCACCCACTTATTCACGGTTCCCACCAAGGGCCTGGGGAGGAAAAGCCGATGGATCCAAGTTCGGTGAGTTCACTGCTTGTCACCCACCTGGGTGATGGGAGATGGACTGACAGAAAGGAGGTTTCCGAATGTGCTGTGGGCCCGTCCCCGTCCCCGTCCCCCTGGCTCCCGAGGCCCTGACAGCGCAGCCTGGCCGGCTGGCGCCCCACCCGAGGCCCGTCTGTGCCTCTCCCCAGGAGGCTGTGTGGCTTCCAGCAGCTCAGAAACTGCACGATGACCCAAGGTGCCATGGCCTTTACTTTTCCAGTCACGTCTGTGCTCTACGGCCTAGGAGCCTGCCTGGGGAGGGTGTGAGCCCACCCCACCCGAGTCCTGCCATCCTTCTGAGGCTTTTTGGGAGCCTACTCTGTGCCAGTCTCAATATTAGGCATCCACCTACACAGTAAGCCTAGGAGGAAGGCACTTTACCCCTCAGGCCCATTCATCCAGGCACCGGTGTTTATCGATCACATCCTAGGTGCCGGCTCTGTGCTCGGCACAGGGGCGTCACAGGTGAAGAAGATAAACAAGAGGCCTCAGGCGGTCTAGAGGCCGTAGGTAGGATCCAGGCCCAGAGGCAGCAAAGTTCCGGAGCTCAGGGCTGCACACCGGAGCATGGGCTGCAGTGTGAGGGCTCCGAGGGCTGGGGGCGGAGGCAGAGCAGCCCAGGTGAGACGGTGCCGTGTCCGTGTTCCGAGGCAGCCTGGCACTTGGCCGCCTCCCAATGCCAAATCGTAAAAAGACTCCTAGAGGCACAGACAACGCCTCTAAAACACTCCCTCCGTGCGCAGAAGCATTAACGTGACGTCTATCACCATGGCATCGAGGTGCTTAGACAACCTGCTCCCCCCAGGAGCTCAGAAACAGCGTGAAGCAGATTATCTGTGTCTGACTGTGACATATGCGATCATGTATCATAGTGATGGATCAACAGTCAATACCACTGGGGTCCCCCTCCGCCCCCCAGCCGGTGGGAACCGTCTTGCATTCATATGTCTTCCCCACCTGGTGGGCGGTCCCCACTCCTGCCTGCAGCCCTCCCAGCACTCCCCGTGTCGGTGGGAGAGATCTTCTGGCTTCCATCATTCACGTCCAAGGCAGCTGGGGGAGGGGAGACACCTTGGGCAAAGGACAGAAACTGAGCCCCATTTTGCCACCATTGGGGGCCGCGGTGGAAGGTGGGGGGAATGCCAGCCCCACATACCTGCCCTGGTCCTGGGCACGTTGCTTTGTCTCTTAGGGGTGTAATTTTCTCCTTTGTGCAATTGGGATCATAACATTTATCTTGAGGGTTGATGGGGAAAGGAGGTGGAGCACTTAGCAGGTGCTGAAACTCAGCCACCTTCCCCCCTGCTTCCCCCAAGTGCTGCGTTCCTCACCGTGCCCCCAACTCCTTCCGCCACTCCAGACACGCGGCAGACGCCTTTCCCCTACCCCATTCGGCTTGGCCC